TCTGTGAACTGTGATGAAATAAAAATGTATGTTCGTCAAACGGGTCTTTTTATACCTGCTAGATACTGTCACAGCCCGGCTCTGAAACGGTGACAAAAAATGGGAGGTATTTAATAAATAAAGGTATTTATTGACCAAAAAGTAAGTCAAAATAAATGAAAAGACGAGAGGAATGTGTAGTCAGTAGTGGGTGTGTGAAAACGTGATGCATGGATGAAGGAAAGTAAACCACAGAGACACGGTAGGAGCGGAGGTCTGCTGCTGCGAAGTCCTTCATGCATGTGGCCCACCGGGCCCAGGTGTCTCCAAAGCTGTCGATTGAAACTCAATCAGGTCTGCAGAGATAGAGAGCACAGAAGCAACGAGCTGCAGCTGTAATGGTGCACTGCCTGGCTCAAGGGCCTGGCTCATTCAGAAAGCCATCTTTATTAATAAGTAATCCATCATGTGCAGAACATGGTTCAAGAGCAGCAGGATGTTAACTGGGAAGAGAACCAGCTGGCTGACCGGGAGTCCATCTGACCTTTTTCTTTTAGTTTTATCAACTCTAGCAAACATTAGACCCACAAAGCAAACAAAACAGAAACTCATTGCTTTTCTCCCTTTTGCCTACTGACAGAGATGACATGAGGAGAAATAGTCTCCATACCTACACAGGTGTTTTCACTTATGTCTGATTAGACCTCACCTAAACGTGAACAGGTGCAACGGAAGAGTCAGGCAGTCCTGAGAACTGAGGAGGTCCAATAAGCAAAGTGTGTTGTTTGTTCGTTGCTGTATTCACATCATTTGGTAGTTATGGGAGCCATAATAACCAGTTTCTGACTGTTCCCTGAAATATTGTTCACATCAGCATTCTTCAAAACGTCAAAAACTTTAAAAGCTCCAATATGTCCGACGTGGCCCTAAATGATAGACCCTTTTGCGGTTTTTAAACAATGATGACGGACCTAAGTGTGCGCACGCAGTTTGGCAAAATAAGAATAACTAGGACTGAAAAGGATTTTACTATAATCAGTTAAAGATTTACCAAAATTATAGAAGAGTCAACCAATTGCTTGGGGCTTTTTTGGTCTGTTGGAATGATTAAAATACATGACGAACAAAATCTTTGTAGGCTTCGGTTGATACAAAATTCAAATGAGTATTCTTATAAGCCAATCCAAAGATAAAAAACATGCCCTCCTATTTAAAGGTGTGTCAACACGTTTTAATTTGAATTGTGAGGGACTTTGTTATGCAGAAATCATTTCCTATAATTAAGTACGATTCTTCTGAAAGCAGAATCAAAATGCAATGTTTTAAAGAGTAACATTCACACCGTGCAATGCTTACAAAGATAGCCTTTATCAATCATCTGTTGCATGACATTCATGGTGTCTCTATACAAATACACGTGTTGAATAACGACATGATACTCAGCATCATAGCCGTCAACATTAAATATGAAATCACTCGACAAACCAACACTGTTTGTGTTGTACATGGTCTACAGCGTTTGAATACTCTCAACCACTCACAGTCACATAGACGTCTTATGATACACTGAGTAGCATGGTGACATCCTGTTTGATATATATTTGGTAACACTTTTCTTAAGGCATACAGTACATCTGTATTGGACTATAATGTTTGAATGATTGTGTGTATTTTTTTTATGCCTTAGCTTTACTTCCTCCTGAATAACTTGTATTATGTAAAAGAAAAGTGTATTGGGAAATGTTATGCCTTAAAGAAGCAAATTCACTTTTCTCACTTCATCATGCTGTTTTTTTGTAACACTTCTTATCCACAAACTTTAAAAATGTTAACAAAATTTCAGGCAATGAAACTAAAACTTAAGGGTGTATTTAAAACGTATTCGCTCAGATGTTGCTGTGGCGCAATTCTGCTAAAGTTTCTCTGGGAAGTGGTGTTCCACAAGGTTCAATCCTAGGCCCTCTACTATTCTCAATCTACATGCATGGACAACATCATCCCTGAGACTAATGAACATATATGCAGATGATACTCAGGTGTATCTAAACATGCGCCTTAAAATCACCTAATTTTGCAAAAGAACATGTAGGATTTCCTTAATTTGCTTCCTAGATTTATCAACCAGATTCCAGACAACAACTAAGAATGCATCTTATTGTGTATTTGGTCCAGACCTGTGTTAAATAATATGTTTAAGGCACAGTGGGGTCTGGCTCTTAATTAATGTATATAAGAGAACAAGTTTGGTTTAGAGTGCTGTTAAATAAAAATGTATCTTAATGAAATTTAAAGTTAATTTAAGAAGTAATCAAATTTTGCCACTAATCGAGGACAGAAGTGGTTTTAGTATTTTGTTCACCAAAGATCTTAACAGGACAGAGAACTGTTTAACAGATAGTGAATAAGAACATTTGATTACTCAGAATAAACCCTTACTCTGTATGCCTTAATCCAAGTGTCACCTGATTTTTTTTAGTTGTGGCAACAATTTAAAAACAACATGTAGACAAATATAGCACGCTACACAAAGCAAGCGTTTCCTTTTTCTTCTTGTCATCTCTTGACAAAAATGTACATTAGATTCAACAAGAATTTGTCCCATTGACAGCTTTGACCAACAGCAACGAAAAAAGGCAAACACTGAAAATATTATGCAACTGCTGCGTAACACTTGCTGCATGACTAAAAGCAACAATATTCCCACTCATAAGCAAATAATGATTATTTTCTTTCAGGTTCCTGTATCCACCTGGCACTTCTGCTTAAACTGGTGTCTGTTGGGAGATGATCCTGATTCTGCTGAAGAAAATGAAAATAAGTTTGAAGCAGATTGTTGACTAACTTCTTTTAAATGTGCTCCATTGCATCTGTAACCACAACCATCATTGATATCACTGTGTACTGACACACCCTGAAGTACACACGTACATCACTACAGGAAGGTGGGAAGTGAAACCACTGGAGGTCGGCAGAAACAAGATTTTCATGGATGTTAAACTGATCTTTAGATTTAAACTGATCAGTGATCTAAGTTCTATAATCATATTGTACTTGTTAACCGTTAAACGAAGCTGTTTAGCTGACCACATAGTGGCTCTATTTGCACCAAAAGTAAATCGGTTCTTGAATTGCTCAAGTTCATAGCCATTAAAGTTCATAGCCATTAAAGTTCATAGCCATCAATTGGGCAGTTTTTATATATTCTTTATATATTTTGCTCACCAACAGACAAAAAACTGACAATCTAGGCCGAAAATATTGAACCTCCTTGGTGATGGAAATAAAGTTTCAGTTTGTCGCAACATACCCACACACTTTCATTTCATCTGCAACCTGTTGGCTATTTCAATTTAAATAATATTCCTCTAAGGCTATATTGGTCTTATTTTTCCAGTGGGATGGGGCAAAGAGGTTTTAGGTTTTTTCAATGTGAAAACAGTGTTCTGACCTGTCACTTGAATTCATGTAAAATTACAGCATAGATCAACACACGTCATTGTGGGACGAGATCCGTGAGTGGCTTCCCCCGAAACCTCAGTCCTGCTCAAATTGTACATTACAAATCTGTGAAATACATCCCAAGCCTACGACTCCCCGGATGAGCAAACTGTATTGTTTGAATACAACTAATTATGTTGGTTGTATTGAGATCATCAACAAAGCAAGTGACTAGTGGTTACGCCCCCAATCTCAACAGAAGTTCCCAGTGGACACATAAGTTCCCCTTTTAATTCCATGGCATCTTCAGTCTGAGCACCAGCATTGCTTCAATATAGCAGATTAGCACAGAATCAAAACCATCATAGCACAGATAAAGAGTATGGAGCATGCACAGCACTTCTCAATAACAGCGTATCATTAAATGTACATAACTCTGTTTACCAGCGTTTTTACCAGTAGCCCAGACAAACCAGGCCTCATTTGTGCATTTGTGAATCTTTTTTAGCAGCGATTTTAACAAGCTTAAAGTATCAGATGGGTGGGTGTGGCCATTATGAACCCCAAATACATCACTAAAGTGACAATTTGTCACCTTTTCCTGCATACACGGAAAAAATGACTGCTGCTGGAATGAAAACTTCGACCTGCACATAACATGCTCTGAAAACCATTAATTCAATTTGCTAAACATGTAGCTTGACCTGCTTTTCTGATGCTTGGTTGAGTGAAACCTTGAAAGACACTGCTGCAACTTACCGTTTCAAAAATAAACACCTCGATGGTTATGGTTTGGTCAAGTATAGGCACAAAAACGACTTGGCTAGGGTTACTGTGGTCATGGTTAAAAGAAACCACCATTGACTCACGGTAGAAAATGGGACTTTTTGATGGCAACAACATCACACTGTTTCCTCATTTGCTCCCGATGGACAACAGTCATTATTCCCTACAACCACTAGAGGGCTTTGTCACTTGATCGCAAACGTCCTGATTTTGTGGCATTTGTTGAAACGACTGATGCCGTCATTGGGAGAACAATCATCAATGTACCTATCTCACACATTACTTCATTTAAAGGTTAATATATATATATATGTATATATATATATATATATATGTATATATATACTATGAATTCAATGCAGGCGGCAACCTCCGGTTCTGCCGAGTGAAGCCGATGTGGAAGTGTCTTAAAACGTGCTGACCAGCAGAAGGCAACTCCTCCGGTTGCAAAAAGAAGTCTGGTTGTATAGAAGTCTATGAGAAAATGACTCTACTTCTCTCTTGATTTATTACCTCAGTAAACATTGTAAACATGAGTTTATGGTCTCAATCTCTAGTTTCAAGTCTTCTTCAATACAGCATGATGTTCATTTAGTACATTATGGTCCATTTAGAGTCAAACAGACCATAAAGCAGGGGATGCTTTAGGGCGGGGCTTACTGTGATTGACAGGTGGCTACCAGAGACGTATACGGCGTCTCTACGTCACTGGTCCGCATTCCGAATATGGTAACTTCCGTTCATCGGTTGCGAAATCACTGGACTCAAGGCTTCATAACGTCAGTCCACAAACCAATGGGTGACGTCACAGTGACCATGTACACTTCTTATATACAGTCTGTAATTCCATGTAAGTTATAGTAACTCACGAACATGACCGTATTTCAAGATTTCCCTCCGTCGCTAATGTGCTCGGCTTCACAAAAATACTAATTTTCACTCGTAAATGTTTCACGTACATCAACCACATGCATTGTCACAATATTATGTCCCCTACACGGCAGTGCAACGGCTGCAACGTGGTTGCAACTCGATGACTCAATCTAAAGTCTTCAGCTCTGCTCCCCATGACGAGAAGATTGGAACTGTTTCTCTTACACATATTTCTTCATAGATATTTAACCAATGCCTTTAACATACACAGAAGTACGTACATTTCTTACCTCACACGTCATGGAAAAACTGACAAAATATGAGGTTGCTGGAGATCCGTTCTTTCTTGGCTTGCACAGTTAACACAACGTAAAAAACTCTTGAAACCAAACACAAGCACACCCTCAAAGGATGGATCAGAACTGCTTCAGGTCCACTTAAGGTACATTTTGAAGGCTCGTAGAGATTTGTAAAGCTAAAACCAAAATATGCTCTGGGGCGATGTGCAGGTCCCACCCATGTGGTACTTCACCTCAACGTTGTGTTAAAATCATTTTGTAAAAACTATTCGACCTGGAGACTGTTTGTTTTAAAGGGTATCCCCTCAGGTCCTCACAGCACTATGGTCTCTGACTGCAGGATGGACTGGGTTCGGGAGTTGCGGTGAAACTGCACCATGTGATCTGAACCGTTCCTGGAGGCGAAGGTGCTGTTGAAGTGGTGGTCTCTGCTCAGACGGCAGTTCAGACATATACTCCGCCACTTTCTATTTAGCTCGCCCTGAACCTGCAAAAATAGATAAACAAATGTGTTTTTTTAAACTAAATAAATGTATGTCTTACTGATAGAAAAGTGATTAAACTTCCACCAGCTTTCCGAAGCACCGAACCACTCGTTTACCCCCATGCTCTTGATGAATAATATAATTCAAAATTATTTTAAAAGGAAATAATGATACAATTTCGACACACTAAAAAATGTTGCTCCGACCAAATAAAAATAGAATTTACTTCCTATCATATGTTTCCACTGCAGACCACATTGAAATGAAGCTGCATATTTTTAAGTAAGCGTGGTATCAGCTGAATGCAGGCACGTTAATGGGAATCTTTTAAAACTATATAATTTTTTCCGTCACTTAAAAATCAAAAGGCTGAAAAGGAAATTATGATTTATGCAAATTGATGTTGACTTAAAGGGCCACGCTCAGCTTTTGCTTCTCGTTAATATTACTAAACACTACTGCACTGCCAAATTTCATGTAAGTAAAGCTTACCTCACTGTTTAGGAAACAGTACAGAATGGCCACCACCAGACCCTGAAGAAAACAACACAGCAATGTTAAAAAATCAACTAACATCACAAATGATTCAACATAGTCAATTTATAACATTAACATATTTTAATGAGAATAACATTGTGGGTGAAGGGACAAATGAAACTGCACCTGAAAGGATCCGAGGGCCAGGTCAAAGAATATTTTATAAGCTTCTGCAATGGATTCACTGAGAGAAACAAAGACCACGTAGTGGATCCCGAACAGAGGGATCAGCAGGAGAGTAGATTTGGCCAATCTCCTGAGAGAAAAACAGCAATGAATCGTTATTTGTAGCACCATTGAGCTGTAAAAGATTTCGCGTTTGTTCCTACTCAAGCCAATCTCCTGGGAATGCGTATGAATAGCACAACATTTCCGATATTGCCATGTGTCATATTTTACGCATTTAAGGCTTTTCGCATTTTACATCACCTCGCTAGGCAACAAAACCACCAAGTTAGGTTGAGAGAAAACATCAAGGTTGGGGATGAAACAAGTGAGTAAACTAAGTAAAATACATACGGAAGCAAACGTCACAAACGTCTCTTTAAAATAAAAACCCACTTTGGGACACCGGTCTCCTGGTTGATAGTCCTGTGTTTGTTTGACCCATCCACCTCCTCTCCGGTCCACCACAGGTGGTCTCTTTCATATTTTTTTTATAGCATAGCGTAGCAAATTCACACAAATGTGTTTACGTAATAGACTGTATATAAGAAGACGACAGAGCCATCATGACGCCACCCATTGGTTTGTGGAGTGACGTTATGAAGTCTCGATTCCAGTGATTTCGCAACCGATCAACGGAAGTTACGATATCTAAATGGACCATAATTTACTAAATAAACTTCATGCTGTGTTGAAGAAGATTTTAAACTAGAGATTGAGAAGGTAAACTCATGTTTACAATGTTTACTGAGGTTATAAATAAAGTGAGAAGTAGAGTTTTTTCTCATAGACTTCTATACAATCTGACTTCTTTTTGCAACCAGAGGAGTCGCACCCTGCTGGTCAGGAGAGAGAATGCAAGTTTTAAGACACTTCCGCATCGGCGTCATTCGGTAGAACCAGAGTTTGCCACCTGGTTTACATTGCAGTCAGTACTGACTACATGGTCTACAAATGACATGCAAAAAGCATGAATGGCGTACTTTTTACACGCAAAATGGATTACAAATGTGTCGTGTAATTCATACGCTGTTTTATTCCTGTTGTTTGAGAACACATATTGTTGATTTACTGTAAAAGGTCAGTTTGTCCCAACATTTGTGCCATGCAGTTAGTTTAGATCTATGAACTGAGACAAAAAAAAGTGGTTTCACTTCAGTGAATGAAGTTTACTTCGTTGTCCGAAATGCAGTTGAAAGCTCAGAACTTGGCGAACTTCGGAACCGCAGTCCACAAACCAACGGGGGACGTCTCGGTGACTTGGGCCACTTCTTATATACAGTGTTTGAATCCTATACACTGAGCTCACTGAATCGTCACCTGCACTAACAGGAGATTCTGCAGTGGCTTACACAGGCTTTTCATCACGTCTCAACCTTCCGACTCGACCCGAGAATACCGACAGCTCAGCACAGATCTGATTTCCCTGCAGGGTAAAATTGCCTGAAGATTAAACACATCGCCTCTGATCCAAAGAGACACTGAATCTTGCAAGAATGTGTCGTTCCATAGATGCATAGAGGGTTTCACCCCCAACTCCCCATTTCATGAAGGCTGCATCATCAAACGCTTTCTTGTTGAATGAGCGTTAGCGTCACTCTTATCTCTGCACACAGCGAACACAGAACGGATGAAAATGTTCTGGGTGTCTCCGATTATCTGTTGTTGTTGTTTGGGTTTTTTAGGGGCATTTTGCTGACTATTACCTACACAAGCTTACACCAACAAACGAGCAGGTTTAGCGTCTATGCCCCTTGTGAGATACCTGTATTGTGATTGGTCGTTGCCGCCCACGTCAGGACACCTCAGCTTCTGAACCAAGATGCGAATGATGCTGATGAAGAGGATAAAGTTCACCTTGGAGACCGGGAGGAAAAACAACAGAGCTATCAGATTGACTGAAGAGAGTCAGAAAAACACACGAGGGAGGATTTTATTTTTGCACTGTTGGACAGTTTTCCACCCACAGAAAGCAATGAATGAAAAGTTAAGACAGAAACAGAGCAAAACAGCAAATGGGTGCATTTTTGGGGCATTTGCTCGTGAATTTGTTAGCTAAAGACTGTTACCTAAAAGACTCTTAGCTTAAAGACTATTAGCTTAAACACTGTTACCTAAAATAATCTTATCTTAAAGACTGTTAGTTTAAAGATTATTAGCTTGAAGACTGTCAGCTAAAAGACACATTTTAGCGATTGACATATTTAAGCCTTTATTTTCTTCACATGCTAAAGCTGTATCCAATCTGTTTAAGAGGACTTTGCCAATCACCTCAGTTTGTCCTCATCTTCAAGAGTTTATTTATTAACTAAAAAGTAGAAGATATTATTTAAAAGATGAAGAAGTTAGCTAAGAACGAAGCAAAACATCGCACTACAATTACTTGTTCATGTAAGATATTTATTTCAAAATGTAACCACTAAACAGTACATTACTTTACTTATATCTCTTCTACAAGAATTATCAACTTCATTTCAATGGTTTCAATTTTTTTACGTCGGTCTGAAATCCAGTGGTAATTGTTTCAGAAATTTGCTCAGATTTTGGGTGGTTACACTGTCGATCGAACACACTGCTTTTTTGAAAAGCTTGACGGGCGTAGGAACAGTTATTCAAGGAGGGGAGGGGTTAGCATATCTATTCTTTATATCATCATCCATTTCTTTCTACGTGGAAGTGCTTTTATAACTGACAAGCATGTGAGACACCTGCAAACAAACAGCAGGTAATGAACCTCAACCTACCATGATAGAGAATCCGATTGGTCCGTTGATCACCCAGTTGGGTATGGGGTTGTCATTTCTCTCCCAGCACCTGAAGGCACCATAAATAACCATAATGTAACTTTCATAGCATATATATTATATAAGTGTGGATGGTTGCTAGCAGAAGGAGAACCAGGCTGCTACGTATTTTCAGCAGATCTGAACGTTTGATGTGAAAAAATAGTTTGCAAGGTTGAGTCATTCAGGTCTTAAAGTGAGTCTCATATCTTTTGGGGCAAGTCTAAGTCACTAATCTATCCACTGGCCACTTAATAGGCCAGTGGAGGTCCATAAAGGTCCAAGCAAGGCATCCTTCTCCTCATCCGTGTCCTCCAGCTCTTGCCTGAGGATCCCAGGATATATCCAAGTCAGGTGGAGTATCTAATCCCTCCTGCTGGTTCTCCTCCCAGTTGGACATGCCCAGAAAACTGGAGGCATCGTTATCAGTGGGCCGAAACCATTTTTAATTGGCTTCTTTTTAACATGAAGGAGCAGCGTTTCTACTCTGTTCTCTGAGGATGAGCCCCAGACACCCTGCTACGGAAACTCATTTCCGCCGCTTGTATCCGCAACCACAACCTGATACAGCAGATTATGACTAATGCACCAATCCAATGTATAGGCCTAAAGGCCTTTACACACTAGGGGTGTGACGAATAAATGACATGAAAATTCGTAACACTCGTCTGTGAATATTTTGCATCAAAATTATTCATACTGGCAGCGATGCAAATTTGAGACAGTTGCAACACTTTTTCAATTTAAAAAGATCAACACAGGCAGAGGACAAACTACTGGGAACAATTTGAGTTCCCTGTGGTGAACAGTGGCACAGTGAATATGTCTCGCACTTTCATTGTGAAAGGTAAGAAGGGAAGCAGTGGATCTGGTCTGGTCTGCTTTTGTCAAGGTTGAAAGAAGTAATAAAGTTTGCGGTTTTGCTTCGGTACTAAGGAGCCTCCGTGTTGTTGTTCACTATAGTGTACTTTTTGAATTTGTCTGTTCTGCGCGACGTGATTTGGTTTATATGTGGTGCAAAAGCTCCGAAAAAAAACGGCTTTGTCCTAAATATTCGCAATATTGACATTCTGTGGAAAAGTATTCATGAAAAAAAACAACGGTTTGAAAAAATATATTGACGTGCAAATTAATTTAAATATTTGTCTAATTCTATTTCATGGCCATAACTTTAATCAAAATCTCAAATAAAGACTCAATTTAACAAGACGGAAAGCACTCTAGACAAAACATTAAGTCTCAAGACTTAATATTTGTGTCTTCATCTCAATTTGACTCGTCAGCTCAAATCTCAATCGAAATAATCTTAACTCAACTTTTTCTGGATCTTTCAACTGCCTCTCACACGCTTCATCAAGTGTTTGAAAGCTGTTTTTAAACTGATTTTGTCATCGCTTCTATTCCCAAGGTAAAGGGTGAACTTTCACGCTCAAGCTTCTTCACCATTCTCCACAAAGTCTCCTCACACTATGGAGCTGCTTCCTGGCTGTGCTTACCTGTCAGACCGCTGCTCTGTAATTGTAACAGAGTTGTTTCACAAAGTATTTTTTTAAGAATACACCCACTCAGTGTTGAGCTGCAATAATGTGCAGCAGAAGCCGAGCAGATCCGTGGCACCAAGCTCATAATAATAACAACTCAGTGCAAATCCATCCAAATGAATTATCTAATAAAGTGCTCTTTGACACGGGGAATATCTGTCCTAATATTTAATGAAATGCAATCCCCGTTGAATATCAATGTGTGCCAGTCTCCTGTCTTCTATCGCATAATGAAGTAGAAAATAATAAACAATTCCAAAGAGTGAGTGACCTGCGTTCATATATCCATTTGACAAAACAAAATACATATGATAATTAATCAACACACGGCATGCACATTGCTGTCATACAATTTGTATCTATGTGGAAGGACATTCAGATGTGCACATAAGACCAAATTTGAATCACATTTCCATGCTGATGAGTGATTGGTTGGCGACACTCACCCCGTGTCCTCCAGATAAATCCTCGTCATCACCCACGCAGAGACGAACACCGTGGGGATTCCTGCAAAACGCCACGAGGAAAACACTGATATAAAGTAGCTAAAGCATTACATATCTGTGTGTTTGATTGTTTAAATATCATACGCAAGAATAACATTTATTTCATTCTCTTTTTTTTCTTCTAATCATATCCTTATTTTATATCATAAATAACAATAATGTGTTTATTCATAGATGATGTGAATACTATACAAAGATTTGAAGTTATTGACACAAATATATGGAAATATATATTACAGTTAGCTCACTTTGAAACCTCATCACATGACTTCACACTTTTAATTATCTTTTGCAACATTATTAAAACATTAAACCAATTCTGGTGGACATCAAATCATATCACGAGTTTTATGAAAAGCACCAAACTAAGTATATTACGCATACATGGAAAACAAGAGCGTAGAACAATATGACATTTCTATCTTTTCCTTTGCAAGATGTTTAAAAAAAGGAAAATGTTAAGCAGATACATTTTACTGATTAAAGCATTACATTTGAGACACTTCAAATTATAGTTAAAGGAGCTAAAGGAAGAAACTTTTGTATAAATGCATATAAATTACTAACTTAAGCACTTCAAATTGCTGCCTAGCGGAGGTGAAAAGTGGTCACACCGACAAGTAAATGTTGTTTAAAGCTGCATTAATCATATGTTGCTAGGGGGCAGAAAAACACCAAAACAAGCTGATAAGGTAGCAAACAGCTGCTTATTTACACACCCAGCAGACATCAAGCCACACTACGGCCCCACTGGAGCCGTGTTTGTGTCCACCTGAGGAATATAAGCCAAATATTCGCTCTCATATTTGCTTCGTTTTTAGTCTCCACCAACTTCTGAAGGAAATATCTGTCTCTTCAGCAGCTAAATGTTTGTTTTCTCTCATCAGCTAGTCTCTAACTGTGTCTGTCTGCTGTTTGGGGCCGAGCAGGTAGTTCTGTATACGGTTGTTTTCTCAGAGCTGCTGCTGCTGCTGCTGGCAATAAAGTTGACAAAAGCGGCGAGACCCAAACTAATCGTGCTGTTTTCGAGACCGGTGTCCCGAAGTCTTCATTTTTTTGATAATGTTATGTTAGTGACGTTTGTGACGTTACGTTGTTTCAATACAATAATACGTTTTAAAACAGTTCATATCAGTGTCTGTGGCTTAGATCAACTCAGTTACTTTGATGAGTTAAGAATATTAATGGCACTTGGGATAAACGACTTCTTAAAAACATTTACGTACATATTTTACTGAGTTAACATACTTATTTTAAGCCCAAGCATGTTTTTTTTCTAATCCTAAAGTGGTTTTGTTGCGTTTACGTGGCGTAAAATTACATGGGAAAAGCCTAAAATGACATAAATTGGAGAATGTTGTGCTATTTATATGCATTGCACTGAGATCAGGTTTGTTCAAACATCTTTAAAAGATAAGATTGAGCATAAAAAAATTAAATCATGATTAATGATGCTAAGTTAATTCCTCTTAATCCAATAATGCTGAACCTCAAATTAACTACAAGCTCACCCCAGCCGATGAACATGTAGACGACAAAGTGTCTGTTCTCGGAGAAGATGACGACCAGCAGCATGTGGAGGTAGAGACCCTCCACCAGCAGCCAGAAGAAGTTGGCCATGATGAAGTACTGGAAGAACACCAGGCTGGCTTTACATCCCACCTGAATAACACAAAGGTCAAACATCTTAACTATGGACTTTGGCTCCGACCAAGAATTGGAAAATGTTGTATTACTGCCGACAAAAAATGAACCTTCAAGTCCTTTTGTCATATCAACCTCGAGTGCACATCCTATGGTTCTCTTTGAAGGGCTGAATGTGACCCCAGTGAGACACTGTGGGCTTATCAGGCAATAACGCTAATTATTCTGATATGTGGGGCAATAAGTGAGTTCACCAGCAGGATGAGCTTTAGTTTGTAGTTCACGACGTTACAAGCAGCGAGTAGATGAGAATATAAAGGTCAGAGCGCCCCGACAGTATTCCTTCAATTATCACAGAGACGTTTCCTCTCCAATGTAAGAAGCAAATGAAGGCAAGTAGAGGAGGGACGTTAAGGGGGAAGAGTCGGCTTCAGGATAAAGTAAAAAAATATATATTCCAAAGCCTGCAGAGTACAAGGTAATAACAAGTCATGCCAACTAAATCAAACCCTGGTATCAGTCAATTAACTGTCACAGTAGATCCATTTCCTGTTTCCCTTTAGGACACGACTCGGGCCTCGGTGGTGGCGGACGGAGGCGGCGGACCTCACCAGTGACGGCTGGTTGGAGCACTGCGAGGTTCGGTTGAAGAGGATGTCGTCTTTCACCAGCACGGCCACGGCTCTCAGGACGAAGGAGAAGAAGAGGTTGAGGTGGATGTAGTTCCTGGTGCAGTGGAGCTTCCTGTACAGATGTTACACGCATACACAACGTACAGATTATAGAAAATTAAAACGTGTTCTGTTGATAAAGACTGAATATGTAGCATGTTGATACCAATGGTGCAGAGCAGCTTTATTCAAAATATAAGAAGATTAACCACCAACAAATGTACTGAAAATGTAAACTACTGATGTCATTAAAAGAAAAGAGAAAAAGACATTCTTATTTAAAGTGTATGACTGTAAAGTGTTGAGATAAATGCACCCTTAAAATGTATTTCCATATCTTTTTATTATAATATCTTTTCACAGATGACTTAAATACATTTACTCTGTTTAGTTCAAAAGGTTGAATTGCTCATTTGAACCCTTCAGACGCTTTTTAAAACTAATCCAAGCAGCAGAGTAAAAACAGAAGCTCCAATTAACATAATTTGAATGAACAAACTGAATAAAGCTAAATCCAATTAAGCCGTAAACGGAGAGTCTGACATAAACACAAACAAACACACACACACACACACACACACACACACACACACA